TGTCAAATAGTATTTCTTTTTTTTTGATGATCCACTAGCCGGAGGTTTTAAGTTTCGCACGAAAACAGAACGGAGGTTTTTCCATTTTTCTTTCGCTTGCAGTCCTGAAAGTAAAAAACCTGGCAATCAACTGTTAATATTAAGTTCACTATTGGAATAATATCATGTAGAAAGTGTAAAGAAATAATATTAACATTATTTTAGGTATTTGGCAACTGGCGAAACATTCACATCGATTTCTTTATATTTCGCTCGAGGGGACTCTACAGTATCAAGAATAGTCGCAGAAACAACAGCAATCATATGGGATGCCTTGAAAGATACTTATATGCCAACACCGGATGAAAATCAATGGAAAATAATAGCACATCGTTTTGATTTGTTATGGAATTTACCCAATTGTTTGGGTGCTTTAGATGGAAAGCACATAAGAATAGAAAAGCTACCAAACTCAGGATCGCTTAACTTTAACTACAAGTCATATCATTCAATTGTTCTTATGGCATGCAGTGACGCTGATGGACTCTTTACATACATCGAAACAGGATTTGCTGGCAGGAACAGTGATGGCGGTATATTTCGTGCTTCAGCAATCAAACATTTCATTGAAGGGGGCAATCTTAACCTTCCTGCTCCTTTACGACTACCAAATGATGACAACAATTACAAATTTCCATTTTACTTTGTAGGAGATGAAGCGTTTCCGCTGTTACATTATTTGTTAAGACCTTATCCACAAAGAGTACTTGATAATGCGAAAAGAATATTTAACTATAGATTGAGTAGAGGAAGGAAGACGGTAGAATGCGCGTTTGGAATGATGACGGAGAAATTTCAGGTTCTAAGTACTGCGATTAGATGCCACGACTATATAAAGATAAATAATATCGTAAAATCTGTATGCATTTTACACAACTATGTTAGGAAAAGAGAAGGGATTCCATATAGTGCATATGAAGAAAATTCCAATAGCATACATGACGTCATCATACAACCTCAGCAAATTCAATTGAATGCGCACTCTTCGCCGAATACGTTAAGAAACTATTTAGCTAATTACTTTTTGAAACCTCAGGTAGCACTCCCATGGCAATATAATTATATTGTATAAATTTTAGTCAGTATAAATAAAGTAATTATGTAAACGCGAAGAAATATTTCTCATTTCTCATACTCGGAAAGTAGTGTACCTATCCAAGTATCGATGCTTCATCCCACACGCGGGTCGGAATGTTTCATTCAAATTCATTCACAACCAAGGGCCGGAATGAATTTCAAAAATAGAACTAAATTTTCTTAAGAATTCAGCTATCATTAATTTAGATTTTTATAGATCATACTAATATTATAAATGAGAAAGTTACGATGTTTGTATGTTTGTGAGTTTGTTCCTCAATCACGCAAAATCTATTGGACGGATTTCGATGAACTTTTGGTACACGGGTAGAAAAATACCGGGAATAACACATAGGATACTTTTTATCCCGGAATTCCCACGGGAGCGAAGCCCCGGGGCGCAGCTAGTATTTTATATTTGATGTCAAGTTAAAATAAATAAGGTTTAGTTTCTTTTTAGATTATAAAGAAGAAAATACAGCGGTGTTGTAAATGTCTAAACAGCCAATGCTGATTAAAAAAAATACCTAAAGCAAGGTGACGCCCGCAGCGGTGACACTACAGCGCCTGGTCACACCTCGGACACTCGCGATCAAATGTTTGAAACAAACGCGTTCCTGCGCACACAGTCTATTACAAAAGTATTTGTGAATTATATTTGATGTGGCCTCCGCTCTGGGCTCCGCGTCGTCACGTCCTTACCTGCCGATACCTGTGAGGTACCCGAGAGCGGGTGGGCGGCACTTTCAACGGGAGGCAGGGAGTGTCCATACTGTACGCTAGTACTCTTTATTATACTGAGGACTGGTGATTCCATATATAAAATTTTATAAATACTATTTATTGTGCTTTGCTATATCGAAATCCAAAATGTTATTGCCAGAACTATTTTAGAAAACATTTTTTTTTACTTATATATCTCCTTATATCCTCCTCCCTTATATTCGAAATGAAAAGTAGAGTGTTTACCACGTGTGAATGACATCAATTTCATACTCGGATTATAGTCTAAACACCTCGTATAGGAATTGATATTTTTCCTTTTTTACTATTATTTAAAACAACAACAGCGACGTTGGGATACGATTTTACCATGATCCTAGAACACAACAACAACACCGGCTAACCAGCAAGTTACAACAACATCAGCTATCATAATTAAATGTGTATACAAAATGTAAATACTATGAGCGTAAAATATAAAAGCATAATAATGAAAAAAAAAAAATAGGTTCTACCAAAAAGTGCTACCTACTATACTTTACTATATTCCTGACTATTACAAAAAGATACCAACCTGTTAAATTAACGGCATTTCCTACTGCTACCCAACTTTTTTCCGTTATGTATTTTTTAGAATACTCCTTCAAGTTATAATTATATAAACAAGGATGTTTTTCCACCTCAGAAACAAATTTAATATTTAATAATTGCTCCGCCATCTTGAATGTCTCTGCGACTAATGTGGCGAAGATCTTGTCCGGGCGGTAGCGCGCGACTGGCGCGACGCGAGTCGCGGGACGAATGTCGGCGACGCGACTAGTGTACGAACCTCAATGAATTTGTATGGCGGTAGTCGCTTGGAGACTAAAATCGTCAAGTATCGAAGATTTGCGTAGCGTTGTGTACGAAGGGCCTAAGACATCTTGTGGTATAGGTATTGCTGTATCGTAGAATTTAGTATATGTGCTACTATTTTGTAGAAATATTGCTTAGTAGCGAATCAAGGGTAATATTAATTAGTTAAGAAATTATATCATGTAATGTAGTAACTTTATAAGATTTAATCATTAATTAATTGTATGATGATTTAAAACAATAAAGGGATGTATTTATACTATTGATTTGGTGTTTTAATGTATGAATTCTATTACAATCCCGTTAATAACTATAAACATTATGTGACCATGAAAGTTTAAAACAATATATCGTGGGGAACTTAGTTTAACTTAGTGTAACAGCAGAGATTCGGTATAGTCATAGTTGAGGGTAAGTAATCATTTTCTTATTTTTGTTTTCGCGTATTTAATAGGTAATGGTTAAACATCTTTTTTTTTAATTAATTTTATTGTAAAGATACTTAGATAAATAAACAAACTGTCGACTAGCAAAAGCTGTGCGGAATCCTGGTAGATAACATCACGGGATAACATACACTGACAATAGTGCGTTTACTTCTATATTTTTTGTAATTGTATGGGGATAACGATGTTAAAAGAGTTTAGAGGATATATATTTCTCTTACGATAAGAACTACACAATTTTCATACAGCAACTTTGTTGAAAATCTGAACGATCTAATCATAACCTTCAGTATGGACCTCTGAGCTCTTTCGAGATTGATAAAATCTGCAACGTGATGGAAAAAAAACGGTGGCTTTTCTAAAACATAAACAAATGTTACAAGGTTCAATTTCGATTCGAACTTGGAACGTAAGGTAAATCTAATATATAAAATTCTCGTGTCACAATGTTAGTTACCATACTATATATAAAGGTATGTATATATATATATACTAGTCCGATTTTTATGAAAAATATATGCAAATTCAGTAGGTCTTAGCCAGTGGCGTAGCGTGCCTTGGCGGGGCCCCGTATAAAAATTTGTTTGGGGGCCCTTAGGAAGGGTTAAGATTACTCACAAAAGAAAAAAAAATGTTTGCATAAAATTAAAACAAAATATTTATTCATCATCATGAATCAATTCAAATTAAATATACACTCTCCTTGACTTTTTTCGGCAAACTGATTTATTAAATCATTTATAGCTGATGATGACTAGTTTTCTAAAGTTTCTGTCGTAGAGGACAATAGGGACTCCGTGGTTTATCATTGTATCCCATGAACATCGATTATTGTGGTATTCCCCCGTTCAAGTAAAACAGCGAAATCGCGCAGCCCGCGATAACCGATGTAGGGTGTTCCAAACGCACGCTTTACGCGGGGAAAAAAGAATTTGCATTTTTTTGACTTTTGTCATTTCTGAGAAAAAAAATGGGAAGTTTTTTATTAATTTTTGCTTACGCCCTTTGGGGCCCCCGTGGCCCCCGTATCATTGATACGGCAGATAGGGCGGTAGCTACGCCACTGGTCTGAGCATCGGCTACTATAAGTAATTTTTCATATCCCTATCTGATCAGGGTGTCCACCTCTATCATTTTTTATTTTATTTTTTGGACTTTTTTTATAATGTGTCATTAAAAAATACGTACAACCCTAAATTTTCACCCTTCTACCACCAGCCCCTATTTTTATGGCGGTACAAATTTCTTATATAATAAAATCTTACATTACCTTTGCATCTGAAATCATACCCATTAAACTGCAAAAACAGCTGCATTGGGGTTCTTAACTTGGCAATGACGTTTTAATCTGTATATATAAGGGTGAAACGGGGGTTCAACGTTTGTATTGAACACCCAAGATAGCTTTTATATAAAACAAGTCTTTATTCACTGAGTTTATTCATTCACAGATAAATTTAACGCGAGCGAAGCCGCGAGCAAAAGCTAGCGGGATTTATAATATATCAGTAACAGTATACCTACTAAATATTTGTCCGTTTTATTTTGTGAAGGAAGCGGATCGGTCACTTCACAAAAGTCTGCTCAGTGGATGCTGTTTTTGTGAATTTTCCTGTTTAACAGCAGTTTTATCATCTTTTTCATTTTTCCAAAGTTTTACCTTAAACTCTATTCCTTTTTACCTTTAATAATATATTTTGCCAGTGTCCAATAATTTATTGGAGGGCGGCAGCATTGAATTATTCATTTATTCCAATGTTTTTTTTTTTGCTGACAACATCGAACAGTAGATTTTTTTCAACTAGTTATTCTTATTTATTATGTAAATATTATTACATAATGTAATTCTGAGTAATAGGTTAAATATCTATTCTTACGGTACGGTAACTGAATAAGGTAAAAGCAAATTATAGGAGTTTACAAATGATAAGAAATAAATAGATCTCTAAATAATAATTAATATATTTTATCACAATAGGTTTCTATACCATTTAAAGCTTATTACTAAGGAAGGTAATATACATTGGTTCATTTGTTTCGATATGGTACGATTCGCCCTTATTTTAAATAGCTATTTAAATTTTAAAATAATATAACAAGGCAGCTTATATTGATCTACACATTTAAATTATTTTAATTTTGTACTAGTTCTCAATATAGTATTTACACAATCAAAACAAACCGCCTCAAGTACTTTGTCACTTCCACTCATTTGAAAATAAATAAATACATATTTCTAACCTTTTATTATTTATACGCCTAGATAGAGCAATCCAAATAACCACACGACTCTAATGTCAGATCGTATTAAAGCAGTCAATCTGTGCGTGTGTAGCTAAGAGCATATCTACCATAAATAGTAGATATTTTTCGCCGCTTCCGTACAGTTAATACGGTATCTAATGTGAATTTAATCAAAGTTTCCAACACTCACACCAATTAGTCTAGCCCCAAAGTATGCACTGTAAGGATTGCATTAAGGGATACTAGGCACGTACCTACTCAACATACAAACATTTGCCTTGCCAAGATTCGAACCCAGGGCATCTTTGAAGACGACACTTTGAAAACCAGTAGTATAAATACCGGTTTTCTCTCACACCGCAGAGGTCATCAATTCAATAAACAATGACAAATCATATTCGTATGAGTGAACTTTAAAACCAGCATCTATAGCTACGTAGCGGCTTCAAATTCATCATTTTGTTTTAGTCAATTACTTTACATTGCTCTTCGCCCTCGAGGAAGAATCGTCGTGCAAAAGTCGCCCCAATTCATTTGTAATTTAAAAATTATTTTACCTCCCAAGACATAGACATTGATGTCTACGTCCTTCCGATGTTTTGATTATATTCAAAACATTCTTACAAAACATCTTTTTGTATTTTTGATTATTTTTCCGTAATGGAATCTGATGTTTATGAACTATTAGTAAAAAAAGTGCTGCAAAAACATTGGTTAATTTCGAAATTATGCAAACTTTACAACAACCTACAATGACTATATCTAAAGGACGATATTAAGTACATAAATTATTACATTTATGAGGTTCATTGGGAGTATATTTGACTAAAATATGGCTGCATATTATAATGACACAAATAAATGCCTGTACAGTATTGAAAAGAACTACTGAAAATTATATGTTTCATAACATTAATGTTACTTTCAAACTTATTTTACTTAATGTCATTTGAGAAAGATGTATGAAATGAAAACTTATCTCCAAGTTGTGCAACTCTTCAGCCATATTCTATACCTACAATAGTCTTAAATCTCACAGGAACTGCGTGTTGGCACCTAAATAACTGTTCTTTAAATATTCTTGAGTCATGATTTCAGGAAATTGGAGGTATTGTTTAAGTTAAATATTGCAAATATCTAATTATATTTCACTTTCGATTAATCTTGAGTCTTCACGACAGAACAGGGTTCATAATGCTACAATCTGTTCATTTTCAACGTGCATTGTTGTTCCAACGTGTATATGGTGGAGGTTCTGGTGTAGTTTCCCTTCTCATTAAAATAGTTGAATAATGTAGGATAGGAAGGAGTGCTCCGCCTAACACCATAGCCCCGAATGTCGGTTTGTGTAGCAACCTGAAAAATTAAAAATAGTTTTTTAACACATTGTTTTTTTTAAACCATTTTATGTTTAAATTTAAAGAAAAGTTTACTAGAAAAAAAACCATGCGGACCAGGCAGCAGACGGGACTCGAACTCTCATTTGACATTGTGGGTTACCTACAATGCGAAGAGATGGCGCTGTTTTGCAGCCTAAGGCTGGAGCAAATTCGACACTGCCGTCAGGGCCGCGGTAGCATAATGGTCAGTGCATTCGCGCGTGTAGCGAAGGGTTCAAGTGCCGTCGGCTGCCTGGTCCGCGTGGATTTTTCTCTATTAAACTTTTCTTTAGATTTAATAATACATTCTATTGTTTTCAGGGGCATATTTATAAGGGGCCAGGGGCATCAAACTGCGAGGGGTGGTAGAAGCCATACACAAGCAGTCCTTACTATACTATATTTTGATGTGAATTACTAATTCTGGGGGAAGGAGGATGCATATACATTTGTATATGGCCTGGGGCGCCAGGTTTCATAATACGCCACTTTTTTTACGGGTCTGAAGTTAGCAGCAACACACTTGTGCATAGATAGACATAGGAGAGTAGACTGGGCGTTTATTAACCACCTGTAAAGTAAAACTGAGCACATAAGTGTGAGAGAGACGAAGAGATTGTGCGGGCAATAAAAGGGATGATGACTAACCTTTTTTTCTACGTAGATTATGTATTAAAGTATTGGACACGTATTTCTTTTGTTTTTTCACATAAAAGTTAATGACATCATTACAGAGATAATATATATTTATATTACCTACCTACCTAGTGTTAAGAAATGTCGTACGAGGTCACGTCTCGGTACAAATTTTTACTTAGAAATGACGTAAGGAGCCCCCACTCCCAAATTTTGATGCGCTTTATCTTTGTATATTTTTGGTTGATTGACAAAAGAAAAAAATAGGTGTCCATTATTTCTTGATAATCTAACAGATGGGTTAAATAGACTAGACTTTAGTTTAAGTTACCCCGTCATCACACTATTGCCATAATATGTTTTGTTAACACCATCGCTTTTTCTCTTTCTAAAGAGTTGTCAATTTAGTGCGAGTGTCGCTCAGTGCACTTACTAAGTCTAAAGTATAGACACAGGAAGCACATAATGAGTAAAAAGATAAGGGTCCAAAATCTTGTAGCACTTATATGACTTTGACAGGAGGGCGCTGATGGTGAAAAACGATTACTAAGTATGTAAAATCACCTCACTAAAGAGAAGATTATAATCACACTAATACTATAAGGCGAAAGTTTGTGAGTGTGAATGTTTGTTACTTCTTCACGTCTAAACGGCTGGAGCAATTTTAATAAAATTTGGTATGATAATTTGGAGTCAGCTGACTCCCTGGGACACATAGGATACTTTTTATCCTGAAAAAATGTTATGTTCTAGAGGGAGTTTCCAAAAACTAAGTCAAACTCAAACTCAAAGTTGACCAATAACTGGTCAAGAGTAATACAATATATAAAAGGTTTATATACACCTTCCTCTATAAATTAAAGGTATTGTTATACCTTCCTCAAGTTAGTTCCAATTTCCCACAACCCATAAGATTTTGGTAGCACTGTACACAGTTTCCATGGATAATTACATTGAAAATTCAATTCATAAACACAAATTCATCGTTTACATCAGGTCTCCTAGATATTTCCTGTGTTATAAAATGGCTATATAAACCAACTCACCAAGGAACTGATATCACAAATAGCGTATACGAAAAAGACAATATAAAATTGACCCATAATCGCGTACATCTTCTTAAATTACTTGAAATCCATTGACATTGAAGCACTGAAAAGTAATAAATAAACGTTCAAATTAATTAGCAATCAATTAATATTAATAAATAACTATAAGTGAATTAAAACCTACATAGGGTGACCCAATCAGGATGAAGCGTCATGGCCGACGCAAACACTTGAACAAAGCCTAACAATCTGTACTTCCAAGTGTGGATGTTTGCGTCGCGACGTTCCAAGTCATGCAGCTGTTTCAAACTGTAAGAACCTTTGCGAAGGAGTGCTATAGGGTCTGCAGTTGGAAAGTTCGATGCACTATACGCTTGTAGAACACCTTGCTCTACAATACCAACTGCAGTGTACTAGAAAAATGGTTCTATTATTAATTTTTACATATTAGTGTGCAAGCCAACAATATCAAGCTAGAAAAAGGTCAAGAAAAACAGTATACAACAGAGAGATCTTAAGTTACCTAAGAATGATGAATGTTTTGCATACACAATGCTTTTCGAATTAAATACTGTGTGCTATGTAATTTTGTTGTGACCTTTTTAACTTAAATGTTTATAATTTACATAAAGAAATTGCTGGATTCATTGCCTGAGGGCAAAAATACAGCTTCTTTTCACTATAGCCTTGTAAATTCTGAGATTTATCAGCATAGATTTTACTTCTACTTTTACCTCAATACCTAGGCCTTATCAGAAAAACTACTCATGTAAATCAATTTCATCCCTATCCAGCAAAGCAATCATTTTATTATTAATAGACTTTAGAATAATAAAATGTATTATCAGTTTTCATAATTTACTATTAGACAAAAATTGTTTAATCTAAAATATTTTAAAAATTTGCTGTCATTCTGCACCCCAGGAGTAGGAATAGACTAATAATAATTGTTATAACTTACAATATCATCCTCACGTCCAGCATACGAAAAATGTATTCGGAGGTCTCCAATTTGATGTTCAAGTGCACTATCTCCATGATAATAAAATCCAGAATGCAATTTAATGTCACTACGCTCTGGCCTGGAGTCTGACCATATCTCATAATAGTCATTAACTTTACGTTTAACCTCTATACCTATAAACATATGATATTTAATAAATAGAATAACAATAATATGTTATAATGTATTTTAAGCACAATTTTTTTTCCAATGTGAAATAGTTGTTGTGCCAAGAAGTTAGACTTTTGCCCCCTTTATCAATAAAGGAGGAATAAGCTTACACTAGTTATGCCGTGTTTTGTTCATCAATCAAGTGCCATTTGTAATTCAATGAACGGAGACAAAACATGGATTAACAAATCCAATCTTATTCTGTGTTTATAAATAAGGGTGATAGGGTTCTATAATAAAAAAAATTGGTAACGGTTTTAATCCATGTTTGACATTTAACTCTTTAAACTTATGTTGAACATCTATTTTGTGTTAAGGCCGATAATGATAATTATCCAATTAAGCATTGCTACTTTTTCTCAGATATTTACCCAGGTACAACCATCCAATCTTAACATTTTCAGAAATATGTGTCTCACTGAACATAGGCATGGATGTAGGATTATGATGACCCGGCCTTATATAAAATAGAGAAGAGTCCACAACATAATCTCTCCAATCCTTATGATACCAATATGTTTTCTGTGTCTCATCTCCTGGCTCAGATAGAAAATTCTCCTTATCACTGAAATGATCAAAAAGATATGAATAATTATAGTATAGTGATAGTTAGTCTTAGTCTTAGTAGTACGGCGGGCTGTTTCCGCAACTCGACACCTAGTGCCTATTTTGCGTGGGGGATTGGCATCAGTCCTGCCATCCCAGCTCCTCCAGAAAGCTCAGCAGTCCCCGAATGTTGCTGCAGGCCTCTACTATTGTCTTCGGGCTTCCCATTAGAGAAGTCCTTTGTCTTGCAACGCCCCTGCACTCCAGTAGGACATGGGCGCTCGTCTCATCCGCCTCCAGGCAGGCTCTGCACAGAGGGCTGTCAGAAATACCTATATTACAAAGGTGTTTGTTAAAGTAGCCGTGACCCGTGAGTATACCCACGATTTGTTTCAGGGCTTGTCTAGGTAGTCTGATTAACTTACGTGTTAGTTGCAGGTTTACCTTAGGAACGGCTTCCCTGGCTTGCCTGCAGTCCGTGAGTTTTGACCAGTAATCGTCGTGTTGTCGTTGAGAGCGCTCCCTTATCCAGGTTCGCAGCTGCCGATAGGGTATGGGTATAATTGGCTCCGGACCAATGGCCGTCCTGCTAGACCCCTCCCTGGCTAAGCAGTCCGCCGCATCATTACCCCTTGAGCCGCTGTGTCCTTTAATCCACTGTAGGGTCAATCTATTGTCGTTCGCAATATTAGTCAACTTACTGTGGCATTCGTAAATTAAGCCTGATGTCATTATATTGTTGTCCAGTGCCTGTAGGACAGAAGCGCTGTCAGAGAGGATACGAATGTGTTTACCTCTTACCCCGCGACATTCTATCGCCTCAGCAGCTCTGATGATGCCCACACACTCTGCCTGGAAGACCGTGTTGTAGGCACCCAAAGCTGTCGAGATGTGTATATTCAGGTCTTCGGAGAAGACACCCGAGCCCGTACCACAGTTGGTTTTTGAACCGTCTGTGTAGACCCTCAACTCCTTATGCAGACAACGGTCCGGGGTGTCTTCATAAAGTTGAATTTTGTATTTTTTGTCAAATACGTACGTCTTAGGAATAAGGTCGTTTACTGCTGCAAAGTACGGAAAGTGCCTGTGTATGTCTGCCAAGATGCTGGTGTGCGGGGAGTTGTTGTCTCTCCAATGCCCCAGCATGCTTAGGCGCGTGGCTGTACATGCAGCTTCCTGTTGTATAAACAAGTGGAGTGGTCTCACGTTAAGTATTGTCTCCAGTGCTGATGTGGGAGTGGTTTTCATGCAGCCGGTGATTGCACAGCATGCCCGCCTCTGGAGACGTCTTAACTTATTAATTGTCGTTACCTGGATTGTCTTGGTCCACCATACTACTGCTGCATAGCTGATGGTGGGCCTAATTATGGTCGTGTATAGCCACTTAACAATGAGCGGTGATAGTCCCCAAGTTTTGCTAATCATTTTGCGACATTGCCAGAAAATGATGTTAGTCTTCGTTGTAGTTTTGTCTATGTGGGATCCCCAGTTCAGTTTGGAGTCTAGGGTTATTCCTAGATACTTTACCTCGTTGGAGAGCCTCAGTGTCGTGTTAAATAGTTTCGGTAGCCGATAGTCGCCTAATGATCTTTTATTCGTGAACATGACCAATTCCGTCTTCACTGGGTTCACCTTAAGGCCGTAGTCGTCACACCATTTTTCAACAACCTTCATTGCCCCTCGCATAACATCACAGGCGGTGCTCGCAAACTTACCTGGTATTATGATTGCAAGGTCGTCCGCGTAGCCCACCGTGTGGTAGTGAAGGTTGTTTAGATTGGTAATTAAGTCGTTTACAACTACATTCCATAGCAGAGGCGACAGTACTCCTCCTTGAGGGCATCCTTTAGTTGCCAATGCTCTGAGATGGTTGTCGTCTTGTAGTCTGATTAGTCTGTTACGGAGCATGTTACTTACCCAATATATAATGGTCTCATCGACTCCGTGTTTGCCAAGTGCGTCTACTATGCTGGCGAAGCTTGTTTTGTCAAACGCGCCTTCTATGTCTATAAAGGTGCCCAGACATAGCTCTTTCCGTCTGAGACTATCCTCTATTTTACTTACGACTGCATGTAGTGCAGATTCTGTCGACTTGCCTGGACTATAGGCGTGTTGGTTCGGATGTAGTGGAACATTGACTAGTTGGTTGTCTCTCAGCTCTCTGTCGCACAGTCTTTCCAGGGTCTTTAGCAGAAATAATGAGAGACTTATTGGTCTGAAAGATTTCGCCTCGTTGTAGTCTGCCTTACCCGGTTTTGGTATGAAGATTACCTTGACCTCCCTCCAGAGCTTCGGGGTGTATCTAAATGCAAGACACGCTCTCAGGAGGGGCACCAGGATAAGGATTAGTGCTTCACCTGCCCATTGAAGCAGCGCCGGAAAGATGCCATCTGGTCCGGCTGCCTTGAATGGCTGGAAGCTGTTGATGGCCCACCTTAACTTATCTGTAGACACTGTCTTCAATGCAGTGTTCCAGGATTGTTCCGTGGGGGTCCAGCTAGTGTCATTCCATGTATGTGTCGTGTGTATGATGCAGCCCGGAAAGTGGGTTTCAAGTAGTACCCTCTGTGCCTCCTCAGTTGTTTCTGTGAGGGAGCCATCAGCCTTCCGGAGCTGTGCTAGGTCTTGCTGCCTATCTTTAGATAGCAGTTTCCTTACCTTATTTGCCTTTGTGCATGAGTCTATATCTGAACAAAATTTTCTCCAAGACCCATTGCTCCAATGTCGGATGCGTCTCTTGTAAAGTGCCTTGGCATCTTTGTACGCATCCCAGTCCTGGTCGTCACATGTATTCATGGCCCTGTTAAAAAGTCTTCTTACCTTTTTCCTCAGTTTTTCCAGCTCGGGACCCCACCAAGACTGGCTGGCGCCCGAGTTGGATGATGGTGTACTAAGAGGACAGGCTGTCTGATAGCTTGAGATTATAACTCTTGTTAATTCCTCAGCTGTTTCGTCTATTTTATAAGTTTCGTCTAATAGTGATAGTTAACATTTGTCTCATAACTAAATTTACCCCTACTCCCAAGTGTAAAAGTAATTAATTATGTACAGTCAAGTACGATAATAAACAAGCAGGACTTATTTACAATATTTTATTATTATTATTATGTGCACAAGTAGGAGTACAAATGCTAGATATATGTCATATTTTCCAATTCAAGGAGTTCCTTAGAATATCTAAGTTATCACTAGGAGTAATATTGCAACATACGTGGTCTCTTCAATCCATTGGTACATCTGTACCCTTTTTCTCAGTTTCACTGCCAGCACTTGAATGTTATAGTCTGGTTCAGATATAGGCTCAAGTATACGTAGAGGCCCAACTATATGCACAATGCGTCCTTCATATCTTGGTGCTTCATCTCCTGTATGGACATCGATACTTTCTGCTCCAGCAACCAACTCCTCAAGCATCAAGTTACTTTGAATTGTTTGGCTCTGAAATATTTAATCATTAAAACATAAATATAGAAGTATACACTCAAGCATGCCTCACTTAAGTTACTTTTGAAACTAATTGGCATCCAAGTCAAGCAAGCAAGGTGCCAAAGAATTTTGCTATAACATAGTCACATACCTCTGCCCAAATCAAAAAATATGTTACACCGGTAAACAATATAAGGCTAAGAATTGTTGTTAGCCACGTTTGTTTAAAATGATGTCTTACTGCCGACCAATCCATCTGTAAATAATAGTAATAAACATAAGGTGTAAGAAGTACGTCTATCTATCGTAAATGAGAATATAAATTTCAAAAACGATTACGGACTTATCTGAACTATCAAAGAAAAACTTTTTATTAACAATAGATATTATCATAAAACTTCTAAAATTAAGTTTCACTTCAGTTATGCAAAACCAATTTATAGATGGAATTAAACGAAGAGATTTGTTATAGCAAATAAAAACATTTTAGCTATGTCTTCTGACGCTAGACAATGATGCCATTTTCTCGGCAATCTAATAAGTTTTTCGAATTGGAAATTTATTTCAGATCAGGATCACAATATTATAATTGTAAGTACTTATTTTTGTGATCCCGGTAAACATTTAACATACCATTTATCGAAATAACATTTCGATAAATGGTACTGTCAAATGTTAATATTTTTTTTATCCATTCTGGGAAGGCAAAGTGTACTGTGTCCATACAGCCAATTCTGAAGTTTATTATTTTGTAATTTTCTTTCTAGATCAAAAGTACTTCTACTCTTTTCTTTATTTTTTATATTTTCCAAATAACAGTCTTGTTTTGTGTTTTCAATTAGGCGTCAAATGTTAATGTCAAGTTACGTGTTGCCAGACGAGGAAATTCAAAATGCGATAGGGTGGGTACAAAAACACGATTTTTTCATCAAAAAATGCGGTAATAACAATAATAACGTTCACCCCCCCCCCCCCTTCTTATTTCATAAATCAAAACATAGAAATGCTAAATGCCACATGTGGGGTAATAGAGGTTGTTCTAGTGGATTCGAAAAAAGCGGAATTGTGTATTTATAAGCAGAACGCGGAACTATTGTCAAAAAGGCGGAGAAAAGCGTTAAAAATACTACTCTTTGAAAGCGATACTATCTGGCAGCACTGAAGCATATTTCTATTTTTTTGTTTTATTTCTCGTTTTATAAAGGCAAACGATAATAAGTCCATACAACCTTGTCTGTAAATTTTTGAATTTTACCTTTTTTATATTGGATTGGGTAATGTTATTTATCAAATATTCTAAATGCGTCATGCACTCCACACTCCATAAGAAAAAATAAAAAATTCTGTATGGGCTCAATATACTTTGCTTTCTCTGGCAGGGAAAATTTTCATGAAAGTTCAAGTTTTTGTTTTTGAAGTTATACTTCTTTAGGCGCGTTATGAAAAAATGATGAGAGTGAAATTTGAAGATGCGCGCGCATCACTGTAACACAAAATGTTACTGCTATTACTTTTGTGTTTACCGCACATTAAGAAAATCTACCAACAAAATAGAAATAGAATCTCTATTTAGTGGGTGCTAACGACTGCATTGTGAAGGCCTATCAAAAGTATTTATTAATCTGGAACAACGGAACCAAAGCGCGATTCAGGAGACTACAGCGCCATCTCTTGACCATTGGTGTAGTAGAACCAAAAACCACATCTTTATTTTTTGTAATAAAGTAACAGTTATAGGTATTCATATTTATAATATTTATCCACATGTTTCTAGTTTGTATATTCGGAATACGTGTTTGAGTTTCATACAAGTGCAAATCACATATTATTATGTTCTAATAAATTGTATTCAGTAGCGATTTTAATTGAATATTTTGATTATTTATTTATTTTTTCAAATTAAAACTGAACTTTATTGACTGTGTCCTTTTCCAGACTTTTTATTAATTTATTGTAATTAATTATTTGCATGCAATTAAAAACTAATTTTAAACGATGCCAAAGAAGGATAACTTCTCACGCGCCTACATAAGTACACGCACCCATTTTTTTTTTCGGCGGGAACCTTCGAAGAGGAAAGGCGCGCTTAGAAGAACTTTTTTTGCATTAATTTTCTTTTTTTCTTTTTTTGTGTATTCTTGTATAGTTTTATGTAAATAATGTTTAAATTCAATTATAGGTATATAGAAGTTAAATGGCTAGTACGAAAAAGCGGAAAAAAGACTATGGGGGTGGCGATGATAGTCGTCGTTCTTCGGACGATGAGTCTGAGACCTCTCAGAAATTCAAGATCTTTAAAGTAACTGGGTATCAAAGGAAATATCCTGAAAATTCAGATAAAACAGAGTTTGTTGTGTTTCTGTCTCACAAAACATACGATACGCCATTTACAGACAAAGCCAGAATTAAAATTTCAAAAGCTATCCGAACACATTGCGTGTCCGGTGTTTTACATTTAAGGCCGGTTAATCGGTATAAAGTCGGCATAACGTTCGATCTTTCGAACAATGCCAATGTTTTTTTACAAAATGCCAAATTTTTGGAAGACTTGGACGTAGTGGCCACCATTCCAGCAAAGGACACTGAAGTAACCGGTGTGCTAAAATCTGTCCCTACTGAATTGTCAAATAAAAACATTTTCTCTTTGATAGGTAGCTCGAAAAACATTATACAAGTCCGGCGGTTCATGCGGCGTGTGCGGGGGGATGCTGGTGCAGTCTCGTACCAGCCCACGCAAACAGTCGCAGTAACGTTTGCATCTACTCAGTTGCCAGAATACGTATATCTAGACCATTGGAGACACGAGGTCAGTCCATACGTTCCACCTGTTAAGCAGTGCCTACGTTGCATGCGTTTCGGTCACATTGCTAAGTTTTGTCGCAATAATGAAGTCTGTTCAATTTGTTCGTCAAATCATAATTTTAAATCTTGTACTGTTGATATAGAAAATACAAAGTGCACTAACTGTGGAGGTAATCACGTAGCCATCTCATCCTCTTGTCCAATTAAAAAGCAATAGATCGAAGACAACAAAATTAAAAGTAGAGCAGTGCAATATTCAGAACTGTTTAATGAAAAATCATAAAACACATAAAACACCAAAATCAAGGACATAAAAATGGCTAATACTTAGTGATAGCATGAGTGTGCTGAAAAACTTAGAAAACAATAAATTATTACATTATTCATACTATTAAAGAAGTCTGGTATGATCTATACAATGTTGAGAATATAATTGTAAGTTTCATGTGGGTTCCGTCTCACATTGGTGTAACAAGTAATGAAAATGCAGATTATCTAGCAAAATCTATCAATACTCTAGCTACTGAAATCAATACTCAGAAGATGTCTATACCTTATACAGATTTAATTGTTCTTCTAAAGGGAAGAATGTACCAAGAGAGGCGAGCCCATTGGAATTATATAGTGCAGGTTAAAGGTATAGTTCTATGGTACACACCTCTTTATGTTGATGTAAACAAATTGCCATGGTTCTGCAAATCAAATAGCTTTTTGAATAGAAAATTCTATACGACGATTTTTCGCTTAAGGTTTGGTCATTGTCGGCTTAATTTCCATCTCTTTCGGTTGCAAATGGTGAATAATGCTCAAAGTACTCATTGCAATTCCCAAGAAGAAACCTTAGCTCACATTTTCTTTGACTGCCCATCCTTCGGCATTCAGCGCCTTGTGTTGTTGGATGAGCTAATCGAAATTTATGGCAAACATGATTTGGTCCCGCGTTCCTTGACCGATCTTCTTGTAAATAATTGCATTCCATACGTTCCTCTGTATAATTTCATTGAAAACACTGTTGAAGAAATATAAATATTCTGTAATATTGTTATGTCTTAGATTTTAAGGTTAAATGTTATGTTAAGCATACACCCAGAAGTAGGGCTGCCATCCGTCCGGGTTTCCCCGGATTTGTCCTAGTTTACGGGGCGTCCGGGGAGCGTCTGGGCGGGGTTTTATTTGTAGTCCGGGTTTAAAAAATTACGGCAACGCATGAGTGGCTCTTGGTGCTGCAAGTGTCCATGAGCAGCAGTGACCACTTATTATGAGGTAGACCGCTAGCTCTTGCCTTGCCTTGCCTAGATCAACATAAAAAAGTTGATTTGTGACATTTTTTTAACTGTTTTTTTATTGGTCTGTCCGGGTTCTGGGCATCAATATCCGGGGTCATCACGCGTCTTATCCTGGTTGCCACATTTTAGAGGTGGCAGCCCTACCCAGAAGACATGGTTGTCTCTATTTCGTTTTGTTATAAAACGCTCAGTTAAGTTTAATAGGTACCGCATGTTCTCTTTCTTTTATTTCTTTGAAAAAAAATGTTTATTTTCGTAATTTTTCTCGGTATTCGTTTTCGTTTAGGTCGTCGGTGTGAAACAAGTTTGAAACGTATTTTTTTAGATTTGTTTTTTCTTTTCGTATGTTTTGTATTAGGATTAGGGTATTGCACGGTATTGGTCTATGATTTTTTTTGTGTAAATGTGTACTATAAAAAATATATTAAATAAATATGAAATTAATATAGGATGAAATTAATTCATGATTGGACTATGTACTATGAGAAAAAAATTGTTTGGTGGTTAAGATGTTCAATGTGCTCCGGAAAAAAAAGCACATAATAGAGTAAAACAAAAAAATAACTAGAAAATTGAAAGAAAAATAAAATACCGGACATTATCAAACTGAAGAAGTTACATTGAATTTTAATAATAAAAAGAAGAAAAATAACTAATGACGAGGCAGTATGGTCCCAGACCTTAGCCTGTCCGAAAGGACAAACGAAAAAAAAAATTCAAGTTTTTGTAGGTTATGTTTTTGTTGTGGATGTTTGTTTACCAAACCAATGCAAATGTTTAACTGTGTTTACTACGGCCAATAAAGATTATTAAAGAATACTTGGAAATGAAATAAATAATGCAAAAACGTTAAAAATATGTATTATTCTACAAAAGTTAAAGGAGCAGAAAAATACATATATCCATATATTTCTTTGCTACGATGTCATCACAACATCCCCTTTTTCGATTTCTATTATAGGACTACAGGTAATTCTATAAATATAATTTATTATTATATTAAAAAGACCCTCTTTTTTGTGTTTTTTTTACTTTTCTCTTTTATTTGTGTTTTTTTACAGGCAATAAAATATCAGAAAGAGATCGACCTATATTGAAAAAGAAACACCCAAATATTGAAGTCCTCACAAATGAGCGTGTGCAGTGCACCCTGAATATATTAAAAAAATTTGGTATAACCCCATTTGAAGCATGTCAAAATCTTCATCTATTTTCTATGAATCCTATAACAATGGATAATTATGCTGAGATATTAAAAGAATGTGGCTTTATTCATATAATTCCACAATATATAATAAGGCAAGTGTGCATTGTGCAAGTAGTTCGCCCTCAAAGATAACAGTTCATTCTTAAGTTTAAATATGCTGTTACTTTCTTTGCGATAGAATAAAACAAGACATCACTTTGATAAGCATTTAACTTACAGATATCATACAATAGTTAGATCCAAGACCATAGAATACCTAAAAAAGAAAGGTCTTGTGAGAACTGAATTTGTATTGGAGGAGTCACTCCTAAATAGTTTTCCAGAATGGCTATCTAGCAATAAACATTTAGAAAACTTTCAGGATTCTGACACATCTATATGTAAGTTTTTTAAAATCTATTTAGTCAGTTTGCAATCGAATATCTAAGAATATATCTATAATAAAATTAATCTATTTTATTTAAATTAATTAAGCATTTCATTGCTATATGTTTAAATTTAAAGAAATTTTACTAGACAAAATACCATGTGGTCAAAATACTGAATCTCATTTTCAGTGACAGTACGGATGAGTGTATTAGAAAAATACCTTAACTGGAGGCTGTCCACTACTGCTGAAGAATTCCAGAAGTATTGTCGCCATTATTTGCCATTAAAACACAAGCCTATGACAGACATCCGTGAAGCTTTAGACATAGCTCAAAATGATATAAAATTTAGTGTGGAAAGCATTAGAAGAAATGGCTTTATAATATCAGCTGATCCCATCAAGACAAAAATGCTATTAGAAAATGTCACTACCTTAGCAGGTCTTGACATAAGAAAAGTGATCCGAATAGAACCAGCTATATTAAAAAATAATTATTTAGCTGTATTACATATTAGGAACTTAATGGAGGTGTGTTTTAAAGCTAAGAATTAATTTTATTATTTTGGGCTTCATTGAAACTTTTTCTTCCCTTCTTAATTCTAATTTATAACATTTGAAAGTTAATCCCTACTTTTCTTCACTCATTCTTTATTCACTTGCTTCTCAGTAAAGGCTTCTAAAATCTGGCATGTGGTTCTATCTGAAATTCTAAAGCTGTTATTGTTCAAGTAGTAGTTGAGTACTACTTCTTTCCTAAATGAAGAAGAGGTTAATTTCAGATTGAAATAAGCGGCGCCCTTGTAAGGGATATAATTATCTTAAGTTATACTTTTGTACATACAAAATTTATAAGTAAATAAAACTTACAGGAATACAGAATATCAGAGGCAGCGCAACAAAGATACTTGAAAGTCTATTGTATGAAACCGCAAACTGTGCAACAACGACTGGATGAACTAAAGTCTTTAAAAGAATATCAAGTACTGTCTTCTAACCCCAGGGTAAGAAACATTTTATATAAAATTGCATAATTTCAGCTTTCATGTAATTGTAGTCTTTTATCAATATTTGTGGGATAAACATTTCCTTGTACATATATTTAGGACAATATTCCTTCATAATTACTTGTCCCTCTGTCTGAAACCTGTACCAAGTGCATTTTTTGTGATATTTGAACTTTTAATAGTTAAATGCTTAGAAATATATAGAATAATGCATTATTACTTTGCAATTTATTGATAACTAGTGGCCTGCCTTCGCTTCACTTTGGTGTAGAGCTGTAGTGTAGACAATAGTTTTGGTTTTCAGGCTTGTATTATATACAAACAGCCTTGTTTCATAAACTATTTTATGTAATAAGGCTGTTTAGTCTGCACTAAAGCTAAACCTAGACTAAAACTGATGCTACCACTTTTGTTTGCTAAAAAGGAGACAGGCACGCCATTAGGTTTAAACCAAGACTAACTTTAGTCCGCGTTTCGGAATAAGTCCAAATGACTTTCTTCATATAACTGTAAACCTGTGAAAATTTATGTACTGATTGTAGAAATTTTGTTGCATAGTTCAGGACCCATTGTACAGAATGCTCATTGCTTTGCTGTTAAAAAAAAGTTTGTCCCCTTAACGAAAACCTAACTGTTATATTCTCTGCTAAGGAAGTTACAAATGTAATAAAAAACATGTTTAGTGGAAAGTCACCTGAGCACGAAAGTTTCAGTATTGAGCATCTTAATAGTAGGAGAGCTAGTGAACTATCCAAGTAACGGTATGTCTGTAAGGGTGCGGCCAGAGTGCACTCAGATTCAGATTCAGATTCCCAAAACAAGCGCGAGAAATAAACAGTGTAGTCTAAGCAGGTTGCCTGCTTTTTCTCGCGCTTTGTTTTCTGAGTCTGAATCTGAATCTGAATCAGGAGTGCACTCTGGCCGTACCCTTCGACTACACTGTTTATTTCTCGCGCTTGTTTTGGGAATCTGAATCTGAATCTGAGTGCACTCTGGCCGCACCCTAAGGCTAGAACTTCTTATGGTGATGAATCATAGCATGCTTAGTACGGTAAGCATCTCTTAGCACACCTCAGCCCTGCACGTCATCAAGCCCTATATTTTTTAAATTGTCGGCAAAATATTAAAAAGAAACTTGTTGCTGTAAGCTTGAAAATTTAATACTATTTAGTTTATTCATTTTAAAGTTAAAAAAAAAATTACAGGCGTTTTCGATGAACACAAGTGCCCGACAGGTGAACCGGAAGGTTTATAATATATAAATTAAAATAAACTTTATTCTGTAAAGTTGAAATTTATATGTGTTTGTCTAAGCGATTTAAATTAAGTAGGTAGAATGACAGGCGGTTCTGGCTAGCATAAGTCCTTAAGGCGCTTTGCAGACGACGGGGCGGGGAGGGCTTTTTGTCCGCGAAACAATAAAAAGCGCGTCTGCCCGTCGATGTCTAAGGCTGCCCTTGCCGAGTACATAAAGCACACGACGGGCAGAGGCAGTCAGTTCAGGACGTTCGTTCTAGTGAATAGTCCATCACTAAGGCGCTTTGCAGACGGCGACGGTGGAATATGGTAGAACAAACGCATATCAAAATTGATTTTTATTACTGATTGAAATTGGGTAATATATGAATATAATTTAATAGTTCAAAAGTCGAAGTTTAATATTCTGCAGCGTAATTCATATTTTATTTCGTAAAAGTATTTTTTTCATGTAGCAAAGTTAAACGTTTAGGCAGCTGGGAAATATTAAGTTCTTCATTTACGTTTTTCAACGTGAAATAGTTTTAAAACTTGAAATGAAAGGTATAAGGTATTATATATTTTTGAAAAGCACATTTATCAGAGGTTAGAAATAAATACAATTAATTGTTTTTAATACGAATATAAATTTAAAAACCAATTTAAAGAAAAAATGAAGAAATATTTTTTTTTCCTCAACTTCGTCGAATCTTGTAACATTTAGAGTTGTTTACCGATGCTTTGAATTTAATGTTAAATTATAGGTTAGTTACTCATCTAAAACATATAAAAAAAATAGCTGTGGCTTTTTGCGGTTTTCGGAGATATGTGAAAAAATCGAATACTAGTCTGGGAACGGAAATCGCTATCAAATGCGGTTTCATAGTTTACTTTTATTATCAATAGTTTGTGGTACATTTTATGAATTGATTATTTGATATTGTTATGTAGGTTTTATCATTTCGATGTCATTTTCCGTGAGAAAATAGATATCTGAAATAATTCCCACATTCTGAAACAATTTAAAAAGGGCAGTGAAAAAATATGTCTCCATTACCGTTTCAGTGGTCTTTACGTCTACGTACTTTAGTAGGTACGGTTATTTCATTATTCAACATGTCTACTTTTAACTGTACTAAACGTGAGTTAATAGTGTCTTATATAGAAGGCGGAAAAACGACTGCGGCACTTTCAACATATTTGGAGGGAAAACAAATTTCAATATATGTTTTATTATTGACCATATTCAAAGGGATGTCATCCCTTCGTTTAATAAACGCTGGAGTGAAGCAGGACGCAATAAAAATACCTTTTTAAGAAAGAACACCAATTGGTTGGATTCTGAATATTCGTTAACTATACCAACATCAGAAAACGTGTCAACAGACTCTACACCGTATGGAGACTCTTCAGAATCAAGCAAAAAAGGAAAAAACACCATTTTGCTAAATGAATATGGTTAGGAGCACATTCTAAGCGCATATCTTCAAGGATTGCGTTCTATAGGAGAAGGAATTGAAGCAAAAGTTGTTGAAAAATTAAGGTTGGCTGATGCAGAGAAAAAGGTTTTCGTTATAAATCAATTAGATGATGCAAAAATAATTAAAGGGCTTACAGATGAAGAAGCATTAAGTGTCTTCATCGACTTGGAACTAACAAAGGCACAATATCTGTATCTCAGGAACGTTACAGATGAATGAAACTGTTCTTTATTTCCACCATACTATAAAATACAGGAAATGAAACAAAGGTGCTATCCACCATCATCAACAATCGAAATCACAAATATTTATGCAAAAATATTGAGAGTTCAAGATCTATTGGATCACACTGCAGCTCGAATTTTATCAATAGACAAGGTTTACAAGAATGGACAAAAACATTTACTATTGTATAGCAAATGGGGTTGTGATGGGTCATCTGGACAAAGCCAGTACAAGCAAGCACTACCAGAGGAGTCTAAACTTATTTCCGATGCAAATTTATTTATTACTTCTTTTGTGCCTATCAGATTAACTGACGTGGAATCAGGCGCCATCACATGGCAAAATTCAGTGCCTTCATCCGTCGTTTCTGTCGGCCTATATCTATAGAATTTTGCAAAGAAACGCCAGAAAAAACTAAATGGTTGTAGATGAAATAAAAAATCAAATACAAACTTTGCTTCCATCGATAATTAATATAGAAGGCGTAGGAGTCCAAGTCAAGCATGAACTTTTTTTGAGGATGATAGACGGAAATGTGGCACAAGTTTTAACAGATACGCCTTCTAGTTCCACATGTCCTAGACAAATGAATGATTTAACGAAAGTAATAGCTAGGCCTGAAAATGAAAATGCTTATCAATACGGATTATCCACATTACATGCCTGGATTCGTTGCATGGAAATGATATTACATATATCATAAAATCTATCTTTCCAAACGTGGTCTGCTACAAGCGAAGAAAAAAAAAGACTCAAACAAGAAAAAAAGGCTGAAGTACAAAAGCGATTTCGTGAAGAGTTGGGTCTAAATATCGATAAACCACGACAGGGGACGGGAAATAGTAATGATGGCAATACTGCTAGGAGATTTTTTTACAATGCTGCCTGTTCTGCTGATATCACAGGGATTGACATTGATTTAATTAAACGGTTATATATAATTTTGCAGGCTTTGTCATCTGGTATAGTGGTAGATAGTAAGAAATTTGGTAATTATGCTCTGGAAACTGCAAGAATATACGTGAGTAAATATAGTTGGTATTACATGCCATTATCTGTCCACAAAATTTTAATTCACGGAGAGAGTATCATAAACCATTTCGCGGTATTACCAATTGGGCAACTTTCAGAAGATGCTCAAGAATCTCGCAATAAGGACTATAAAAAATTTCGCTTACACCATGCTCGGAAATGCTCTCGAATAGCTTCAAACGAAGTTGTGTTTAATACACTACTTTACACTTCAGATCCATATATAACGAGCATAAGAAAACCATATGCAAAAAATGTAAAGGAGCTCGATGAAGATACGTTACACCTTCTCAAGGTTAATGAACTTATTTCAGATCACTCAGCTCACCGGGTGTAAGATGTCAATCTTGCTGAGCAAAAAAAAAGAAATATATATTGCGATAATTTTGATTTGTTTCTGTATGTTATCAATATAATATGATAGTTATCTTAATAGAGTAATTAGCATTAAGAAATAGACGTGCAATATGTTTCGAAATAATATTTCAATAAATAAATAATACTATTTTAAATCATTTTGTAACTTTTCTTTTTTAATTAAAAAAAATACGCATAATTCCAAATCATCAAACATTACTTATATGAATCCTTATGTATCACTTTATATTATAGCAAAATTTTATAAGTCTATCTTTCAAATTGACGGAGTTACAGATTTTTAATCCGAAACACACCGAAATATTCCACAGTGCGGCGGGGCGGAGCGGGCCGGTCAATTTCACCGCGAACGATAGCACAAAATGAATCCTATACTACAAAAGCACACAGAGGGCAAAAAGACCGCGCCGCAGGTGCCCGGCGGGCACTGGCGGCGCGGCATGTCCGCGGCAGCCCGCCGTGGATCATACAAACCAGTTTATATACAGTAACGCAGACGGCGGCGCGGGGCGGCTAGCTCAGTCCGCGCCACGCGCTTTTTAGTGATGGACTATTCACTAGAACGAACGTCCTGAACTGACTGCCTCTGCCCGTCGTGTGTTTTGTGTACGCGGCGAGGGCAGCCGCAGACATCGACGGGCAGACGCGGTTTTTATTGCTTCGCGGACAAAAAGTCCGCCCCGACCCGTCGTCTGCAAAGCGCCTAACAGGTGAGTGGAGAGATGCTATGGAAGTGCGAGTAAGAGACGTAACGTGAACTTGGTGGTGCGATTGAGACAGTTTATCTAAAGGTAAAATTGGAAGGTCGTACATCTGCTTCTGTAAGAAGATTTTAAACGACATTTTCGTCAATTGTAACAACGATTTATCTACGTGAAGTCGTATTAAACAATCTTACGAAGAATTTTGCTGATTTATATTGTGAATTATTAAAAGTCTAAACTTTCAGTTATACATTATTATTAATGAGGATCATTACTAGGTCAGCAAATCAACTCAAAATCAACTGTATAATGATCTAATAAGCTCTTTCATTAATATACTTTTCAATTTTTATATTGCAAATACTTTTCAAAAAATTAATGAAATCGGTTCATTCGTAGCGATTTTATAACAGATTTTATGGTAGCCAATATTCACCGGCGCCGGCGGCCGAAACGTGTGATGTCACAGAGCTCGATTTTGGTTCAATCCGGTCGAACTTTATCGGTGTCTCTACGCACGCTCGCGCCCGAGCGCTAGAGCTCTGTGACGTCACAGTCACCATGCGGCCAGCCGAAAAATCGTTTAGTAATTTGGTTATAACTTCGTCAATATTTGTCGTAGAACAAAAATTTAACCACTGTATTTTATGGAATCCTTCGTAGCTCTATAAATCTGCATTCTCAACTGAAATCGTTACGGATCCTCATTGTGTAGTTATTCTTGTGCATTGTTCGACAGTGGTGCCAACGATATATATTACCACAAAGACAAACAACAGGAACCAACAAAGAGTTCCCTACGGCAGCTAAGTGTCTTGTCTTCTGACTCACACCATCACCCGAAACAGTTGCCTGCCGTAGGAACTCTTTGTTTCAGGGACACGGAGCTTCTGCGCCAAGCCACCTGGCAGCTAAGCTTCAGCACGTCAAGCGAGTTCTAAAGGATAATAAACTGAAAGTACCACGTCACCGTCACAATCGCACGAAACCTAGCACAGTTGATCAATAACCTGCTGTACTACATTACATTACTGACAAGATTGGGAGGATTCTGAAGCGTGCTTCGATCAATACTTACTTCAAGCCGCCAAAGAAGATCAACCAGTTTCTATGACCTGTCAAGTGCAATATACCCTTTCAAGTTGCTGGTGTCTACAAACTTGAATGCGACTGTGGGCTCTCCTACATCAGGCAAACAAAGAGGAGTATAGGGAGTCGGGTATAACAACATATTGCAGATATGAAACAGGCGCGAAAATAAGTCTGCAGTGTGTGAACATGCATTAGGGGGACCAAACCATTACATTAGATTTGATAAAACACAGATCCTTGCAACTGAACAACGATTCATTCCTAGGATGATACGCGAAGCTATTGAGATTAAGAAATATCCAAATTTCATTAGGGAAGATGGTATACCACCAGCTTGGGAACCCATTATACAACAAATAAAATCCTAACCCCGAACACACACTGCAAGACCAACAGATACTATAAGTTCTTTTTGTTTACATGATTTAACATAAGGAAACAAAAAGCCTCTGACTTTGTTTCGCCAGTTCTTCTCAAAAAGGTCTCCCAATTTGGAACTGGTGGTTGTTTACGGTAGTTAGGTTTAAATAAATTAACTCAAAAATTCGAAAAGAATTAAATAAAGTAGTTTAATAATAAAATTAGCATAAAAAAATATTCTTAGACAATACAATTTTTAATAATCTTTTAATGAAGTATCCGAACGCTCAATAAAAATCTTTCGAAGGTAGCTCGACAAAATAAATTAAATCATAATTCCGACGCTGCAGCCTGAAAAGGATGCGAAACGTCAGAAAAGTAAAAAAAATATGCATTCTGAACCCGTTTAAATTATTGCAAATTCACATTAAATGATGTAAAAATATAAATTATGTGTACATTTTTTATTAATTATGATAAATTGTACATAAGTCTTCAAATTAATAAATTAATCTTCATCATCATTTGATTCTTTATTGCTGACTTCATCATCTAAAAAGAAACAAAGTTTTAAGACATTAATAATAACTTTACATTAAATAAAACACGCTTATGCTTTCATGCTACGCCTCTTACTCCCATAGCATCTTTTCCCTCACCTGTCAAGGACTTATGCTAGCCGGAACCGCCTGTCATTCTACCTACTTACTTTATATAGCATCGACAAACGCATTGTATATTTCATCTTTACAGAATAAAGTTTATTTTAATTTTTATATTACACACCTTTCCGTTCAACTATTGTGGTCCTTGTGCTCATCGAAAACTAAATTGTATAAAAATTTCAAGAAGCAAGCAGCAAGAAGTTTTTTTTTATATTTTGTCGACAATTTCAAATATATAGTGCTTGATGACGTACAAGGCTAAGGCGTACCAGGCGATGCTTACCGTACTCAGCATGCTAGACTCAGCACCATAAGAATTTGTACCCTTACAGACATACCGTTACTCGGTGGGTTCAGTAGCTCTTGGTCTACAAGCCCGCGGGCGTACACCTGCCGTGACTACTTGCTATATTCTTTAATTTGCGCTTAAATCTTAGTTATCAGCTAGATGAACGTATGTATACCCTACCTAACACAGTGATTCCCAAAGTGGTCTCTATCGACCCCAAGGGGTCTATGACGACCTGCAAGGGGTCAGCGAAAAAAAAATTGGGGGTTCATGAAATGAAAATAATGGATCTCAACATACACTGATAGTACATGTTTACTTGTATTATGCTATCTTCTATTAAAAAGACATACATTATTTATAAAAGTACCTATGAAATAATAAAAAATATTATATATATGTTTATAAAATTTTGTAAGTTGTAAGATGTAGACATTTTGAAGTTGTATAAACCTGCACATAATGATAAACCAGTATCATCTTGTTCCAACTAACTTCCCTCCAGATAGAAATTTACAAAAAATCAATATCAGGTAAGTAGGGCTCTACCCAAAACCTAAAAACATGCAAAGAGTCTACGACACAAAACAGTATGGGAACCTCTGCTCCAACTGTACCAAGCAATACCTCCGACTTGTCTAAATTCAGGCCTATATCATGAGCAACTATCACTGCTAAGGTGTTGGACAGTTGGCTTGATAAGCACTTGGGGGAGCATTTAAATATACATGACCCGGATTAAAGCGGACACCTGCCGTGACTACTTGCGATGTTCTTTAATTTGCGTATAAGGCATTGTCCTAATACAACGCGATAACGCGATCATCGCGCGTTTAAACGATGCGATCGTCGCGTGATCGCGAACTGGGTGTCCTAATAGAACGCGAATACGGAACGGGTTAGCCCTGCCCCTCTCCCCGCTTCCTATCGACGCGACGCGATCATCGCGCGAACTTCAGTTAGGACACCTATTCATCATTAATAGGTTTGATTCCGCGTTCGCGCGAATAGATTTTTAAACATTTTAGTCGCGCGAATGCATCGCCTATTAGGACACCTATTCTAGATCAATATGTTTGATCGTCGACTCGTACGATGATCGCATCGCTCATTCGCGTTATCGCGTTGTATTAGGACAATGCCTAAGTCATAGTTAGCTGCCAGACGAACTTATGTATACTGTAATGAGGGCTACCGTTTTCTGTCTCATCAGATGGCGCCACTGTTGAGTGAGGTTTAATACAAAAGAACCGTATCTTAAACATAATCGGCCATGCAACAGTGTTGCACAGTTCCGTTTTTTCGGAAAAAAGGAGGACATAATAATTTTTCTTAGCTCCGCTTTTAAACATTCATTCATTGCCTCGTAACTCATATTCGCCATAATTACGCTGTTATTACCAAATATTCACAACATTATTTTAATTAGAAATAATAAATTGTGTAGTCAACCCACAAGCAATAACATTTGAGATTTCGGAGACCCCACGGTGCACTAGCGCCTCTAGCGGCCGATTCATACGCGATAGCACTCATTGTACCAATTGTTAAAAACAAGACGGACGATGCCTCCGGCTTGTAACTACTACAGGCCTATATCATTAACGAGTATCACTGCTAAGGTGTTGGACACTTGGCTTGATAAGCACTTGGTGGAAGATTTGAATATACATGACGCACGATTTGGTTTTAAACCAAGCCGTTTAAAACCAAATTGTGCGTCATTGGGGTTGTTTAACCGAAAGTGTGATACTGTGCCTCAAGCAAACTGTATAATACTATACGGGTTGTTCAACCGAAAGTGCGATACTGTGCCTAAAGCAAATTGTATAATACTATACATCAGTATCGCGGACTTTTTTGTAGATATTGATTTCCTCTGGAAAACTTTAGTACATGACTTTGGTCTATCGTCAATGACTTCCGCAGCGTACACGATATAAGGTTATATTTTTTTTACAAATTGGGTTACATTGTCGCAGTTTTCATACAGAACCCTAACTTTTTTTCAAAATACTCTATAGCCTATGGTCATTAAATGTAGGATTTTAAACGTAAAAGATTTTTTCAAATCGGCCCCGTAGTTTCAGAGCCTATTCAATACAAATAAACAAATAATCAAATCTTTCCTCTTTATAATATTAGTATCCATTTACATAATTATTGAATTTTCTTCTTTAAATAGACTATTTATTTATTTAGCTACACTTTTTAATGCTATGACTTTATTAATATACTACTGTATTTATTAAAGGCTTTATCGATGGTGGTTCATAAAAACAAAATGTTATCACGGCTGAAGAAGATTCAGGAAACAGAGAAGCAGTGCTACAGTCTTAATAACCTTGTGGCGTCCAGTACAGTTTTTAACAAGTAAGTAAGATTATAAATGATTAAATGATGAAATAAACAAAACAAGTTTTTAAACTATAAGTTTTATTGTAACTATTTTTTTTAGTTACATGAGTGGCTTTGGAAACAGAGCATGTGGTCGCGACATGGCTATATTAATAGCATCTTATGCCAACGCAGAAAATGATAATTATAAATCTACAAACTCTGAAACAATTAAAAATATTGTAAAGCAACTGAAGAAACATAAGTATTATCTCCATGCAGCTTTGATTGTTGTCGACACAAACATACAGTTTTTGAAGAAAAAATTCGACAATTCTGTTATTTTTCGCCATTGTCAACTACTTTTGTATCCCCTGTAAGTATACAGTATTAGTGCTATAATGTTGTCGATTCTGGCAAGGTTCTCTAAACCTAAACTTAAATTTGACAACAGTGTTTCCTAGTCATTCTCTATACATAATGAAAGGGAGAGACTGATGTCAAATTTAGTTTCAGATTCCAGCCCCTCTAGCATGAACACCGCGATATGATATATAACGCGTTTTTACCACACTGAATTGTCAAATTGTTATGGAGTTTGACACTTAGACGCGATAAAAAACGTGATATAATGTAAATTGTGGTGCTCATGCTATGGGGACAGAATGCCAGAATCGATATCCATGTTGTCATTGTTATCCAAAGTTCGTCTTAAAATACTGATACCTAATTGTTAAAATCTATGTAATCCTCCATCCATATCTGTACATATCATATTATATTTAATATTGTGTGTCCGTCTGTTTCATCTTCAAGTTAAAACCGCTAAATTTATTTAAATGAAATTTGGTATAGAGATAGTTCGAGTCTCGGATAAGAACATAAGACTTTAATCCCAAAATCATACTTTTATGGGGTTGAAAAGGAGTGTGGAATTATTATACAGAGAAAAGTTTTTTTCTATTTGCAGTTCCGAATTAGAATACTACTTAAATCATTTACTAGAACTACGGAGCGGTAATACGGAGAAAACTGATCATAAAGTACAGCTTGATGCCACCTATAATAATTTAAAATATCACCAGCTCACCGACGACCAAATATTAAGTTTAGTTTTGTACGAAATAGAGAAGAAATACCACTTCAGTGGCGACGGGATATGGGCGAAACAAGATAAAGTAAACAAGAAAATGTCTGCCACCTGACAGCATCACAAAAATTGTGTAAAGAGAAAAACAGGTATATAATTTATTGCCATCAAACTGGTTTAAAAATACATAAAATCAGTTTATTTTCATCTGATTGTTTTTATTTTTGCATCCATCTGACTTTATTGCCATGAAAAGTAAATATCTCTTTGCCTGTTGCTATAATCTGAGGCCCAAGCATGTACTTTGACTGCTCCGTACTCGTATCGCATGGTCAGTTTCTATGAAAACTAAACAGCGCCCCTACTGGAAGAAAAGAATAAACTGGCTCCTTCTTAGATTTTTTTTTATTTATAGGCCTGACAAATGACTCCACCCCACCTGATGTTAAGTGACGGTGAAGTTCAGACGCGAAGATAGGTGATACAGCAGTTCTACCTGCCACACTAGCCATCCTCACCCTGCCGCCCTGCAAATTGCTTCTTCACACATCTTTTAAAGGATCCCGGGTTGTAAAAAGGAGGAAACACGTGACCGGGCAGAGCATTCCATTTACGGATAGTGCGACAAAGAAAGGAGTCACCAAATTTCTTTGTACGTGTTGGAACTGTGGCCACAGTTAGACGGTCACAACGAAGGCCAGCGCGCATGGTCCTGAAGAAAAGGGGAAGGTGGAATAAGAGCGAATAACTCCTCAGAACACTGGCCGTGGTACAGACGAACGATAGAACGCGCTTAGTGACGCCACGTCACGGCGTAATTGAAGAGGCTCGAGGTGTTTAGTCACCTCCTCATCGCCTATGATGCAGATTAAATCAAAAAGAGAAGATACGGTGCAACGCTCTTACTTGCGTTCAATAAAAAATGCTCCGGTTCAAATACGTAAGCAACTGCCACACATGCACACTATATATATAATACGCTTCAACGCAGCGCGAATGCGACGGCGAGTCCGCGTCGCTTAGCAACAAACTACGTTTTCTTTTCTCCTTCTACAAACGGCTGAGCCGTATTGTTGTCCTTTTCTTGATAACAAATGGCGAATAAAGCGAATAATGTTCATGGCAAATCGTGATTTTAGAGAAATAATCATTTTTTATAATTTTACGAATGAAAAGTGATACCGTGGATTTATTAAATTGTTCTTGAACTATTTGTGCACTTTTTAAAAGCATCGAAGGCATTGTTTTATTATTTTAACACAGAATAACTCTTGTTATATTGAGTGCACATGCAGCGTGCTTGGATTTCCAATTGTGACTAAAGCGAATTAGACCAGGGTCGATAATTTTTGAGACCAAAAAAAATTATAGTAGGATGAAACCCATTAGAAAAGATAGAGAATATAACAAAAATGAAAGGAAAAATAAATTACGGGCGATCTGAGGTCGGGAAGGGGGAGGGGGTGAGTTTTTAAGGGTAAATATGGTTAATCTCGATTTCCGGTAAAACTGCAAGTCCTATGAAAAAAAGTTAAATGGCAAAGTTGTAGGTAATAAAAAGATCTACAACTTTTGTATCGACACTTTTTTCACATAACCTCAAAATTTATGTGAAAAATGCGAATAACCGAGTTTTTGGTTTTTGATTTTTATTTTTTGCAAAAAAAAATATTTTTTCACGAAATTTGGTGAAAACTTACCTTTGTATGTCCCAAACATACAGTAATTTTTTTGATTTAAAATATTCATTTTTTCACCTTATTTTGACTTAATATCGAAAAAGCACCCTTATTTTCAATCGAAAATTCTCACGTCAAAATATCTGCTATTTTAATAAAGTTGGCGTATTTTTTGTTTGTTGAAATCTCAACTTTCTGATGGTATAAAAAATATACACTACTATGGTAAATGTTCTCAGAAACTGCAAATTAATAATGAAAAAAACTCCAATCCGAAAAATTGATTTGAATCATTATGTATAATTTTGAACTATTTATTAAAATTTACACTTTAATTACTCGAAAAACGTAAGATTTCATGTTATATTGATAAACAGAAAAATTACAAATCCATAAAACATGCAAAAATAGTTGTTGTAAGTAGGTATTAAAAATAGGATTTTCGGATTCGAGTTTTTTTCATTATTAATTTGCATTTTCTGAGAATATTTATCATAGTAGTGTATATTTTTTTTATACCATCAGAAAGTAGAGATTTCAAAAAACAAAAAACACCCCAACTTTTTTAAAAAAGCAGATATTTTGACGTGAGAATTTTCGATTGAAAATTAGGGTGCTTTTTGGATATTAAGTCAAAATAAGGTGAAAAAATGAATATTTTAAATCAAAAAAATTACTGTATGTTTGGGACATACAAAGATAAGTTTTCACCAAATTTTGTGAAAAAATATTTTTTGTTTGCAAAAAATAAAAATCAAAAACCAAAAACTCGGTTATTCGCATTTTTCACATAAATTTTGAGGTTATGTGAAAAAAGTGTCGATACAAAAGTTGTAGATCTTTTTATTACCTACAACTTTGCCATTTAACTTTTTTTCATAGGACTTGCAGTTTTACCGGAAATCGAGATTAACCATTTTTTACCCTTAAAAACTCATCCCCTCCCCCTTCCCGACCTCAGATCGCCCGTAATTTATTTTTCCTTTCATTTTTGTTATATTCTCTACCTTTTCTAATGGGTTTCATCCTACTATAATTTTTTTTCACTTTTCACCATTTTTAAAATTATCGACCCTGGTCTAAATTGTGTTCATGCACCTAATTTAAGCAGTGCACTTTTGAAACACGAGTGTCTTCCCTTTTTGATTTAATGTAGGGGCTTCTTCCATAAAAAAATGACGATGACGATACGATTACTGCTTACCTACATCGTTACTTTTTTTGCACATCTTTTTATTAGAGATTTACTAATTCAAAGCGGCTTTGAAATACGCCAGGCCTGCCCCGAGGAAAAATCTCTAGCTACGCCCATGCAAACAGGAATCTAATAAAACATCCGAATAAAAGCACTTCAGTATATAATTCTTCACTTGTATTTTATAAAATATCTAGCTTATTGCTTTAGAAAACTTAACTTTGACATTGATTAATCTTTCTAAATAGGTAGGTAATTACAAACTTTCATTATTTCTGGAGGTACCCTGCTCTTCGAACTTTGGTGAAAACTAGACACATTTCGGTCCCCACTTACAGTACTATTTTAAATTCGTGAAAACTTTATAATATTCGAAAGAGATCAGCACTGATTTAGGTACAATGGCGCGATTACACTTGGAGGTTAGGCCGAATACGAGTGCCAATGGAATTTGGGTAAACGATTAAGTGTAAATGAACGGAGTCGAGTACACCCTTATTCGGGTAGATTTCGTTTTCTTTACCTGACACCGTCTTCCAGCCCTTATTCCAGTGTGAATATTGCTTCGAGAGCCCGAATTCGAGTTATGTCTTTCGTGCAACCAAATACGGGCCAAGTGTAATCGAGCCATAAGTAATGTCAATAATTACGTTTCTATTTACTTCATAATAATATACAAATCGTTGCCGTAGAAAAAGGAGAGTATTATATTAGGTATCATTTCTATCAAATCTTCATTTTAACTCTTATCATAACCATACAATTATTCAATGTACCTAACAATATTATAATAATTACAACGAAGTATTGGTCCACAAAACAAAATCTAATATATGTATGTATGTGTAATAGAATTATTAGTTTTACGAATATTTTGGCACAAATTCACACGGAATATAAGGTAATATTTACAAACAGTTCAATTCTTAAAACCGATAGACCAAATGACACGAAACATATGTACTTACCTTAAATAAAAAAGACAATATGATACTATCTTTTAATTTTTTATCTATAAAATTAGATAAATTACATTGTTAATATTTTATAGTTGTTGGATATGTAAAAAAATATGGATCAAGCTTGTTTAAAAGCTTAGAAATGGAGACATTAGAAGTCTCAGGTGTGAAGATGCTGCTATTTGTCTTTAGCTTTACTGTATTGTCAGTTTGTCTTATATAATATAGCTACCGTTGACTATTATATAATAAAAATACGTTTTAGGTTATTTGGTCTTATCATATTCGTTTACGTGTAACAATTATACAACTTGTAGACACATATTATAAGGCACAGGGAATGCACGAGAAGCGAAGTCACTACAATAATTACAAAACAATGTTTCAAAATATATTATAATCTAAGTATAATTTTACATTTATTTAAGAATGTGATCAGCTCACTCGTCTAATCTCGTAATAATATCCTAGTATTTAAATAAAATATAGTACTTCATCTCATAATCGTAAATAACTATTTATTTATTTACATTTTATTGCAAAGTTTCTTAAGATTTCTTACTCAGGTTTACCTAATATATCGCAAGTATCTCTAAATAATCTTAATAATAATAAAATAGAAACAAATAAACTCGAAGTTTCAAAAATAATAAATGCGTAGCTACATTAAAAATCCGTGAACTTATATTACTTATCGTGGCTACTGAACCTAAGTATTTGGAAACTAAGAGGAATAATACTCCTTTTCGAAATTATACTCACAATCAGGATAATTTCGAAAAGGAGTATTTCAGTTCAAAAAAGGGGGCAGTGTAGTGTACGCCTGGGGACCTGCCGTGGGCTCCATCTTGACAACAACCGGCTGTGACAATTCGCCATGCCTCTCCATATCGTAATGTTTCTCGTGGGGGACCATACCGCACTTGTCGTACTCCTCAGACGGTGGAGCGTATCTAGGAGGCTCTTCCTGCATCGCGCACGCGGTGTACTTGTCCTCGTGTTCGTGCGTACGGTAATCTAGTTTTTCTTCGTGCGCGTGGGCTTCCATTTGAGGCGAGTGTGCCGCCATCATTGGGTAATCCGGAACGCCTAGAGGAGGTGGGCTGCCCTCGCCATACTCGTACGAATGGCGCGGCGCAAACATTTGACCATCGTGCCCGTTGAGGACCGTTGTGTAGGAATAAGCTGCGGGCTGAGCGTTGAATCCTGGATAGCCGCTGCTGCTTGATGAAAGTAAGTGATGTGATGAGAGCTCGTAAGAGTGCTGGTAAGACCAAGAGTCGGCTGGTGCTGACAGCCCGTTCTGTGGGAAGGCAGGCAAGTTGCCTCCAATACTTGTGAAGCCGCCGCCGAGGGTTGTGGAACTAGGTGAACTGGAGCCGATGTAGCCGGTTTTTCTTGGAGGCTCGCGCTTCCGCCATTTCGCTCGTCTGTTTTGAAACCAAACCTAAAAGAAGGTAAATGTTAATTACAAAGATTTAAAAACATGAATGAATTATATTTGCAACGAAGGAAGATGGGCATCGAATCCTTTCTATCTATGAGGAAATCCCTGTGCCCCCAGCTGTGGGGGCATTAATAGTGTGGTAATAATTAGAGGCATAATACCTACACACT